TGCATATACATATACATATACATCTATACATCTATACATACATATATACATTACATTACATTACATTACTTTTCATTACATTATACATTACATTACATTACTTTTCATTACATTATACATTACATTACATTACTTTTCATTACATTACTTTTCATTACATTACTTTTCATTACATTATACATTACATTACATTACTTTTCATTACATTACTTTTCATTACATTACTTTTCATTACATTATACATTACATTACATTACTTTTCATTACATTACTTTTCATTACATTATACATCACATTACTTTTCATTACATTATACATTACATTACATTACTTTTCATTACGTTACTTTTCATTACATTATACATTACATTACATTACATTACATTATACATTACATTACATTACTTTTCATTACATTATACATTACATTACATTACATTACATTACTTTTCATTACATTACTTTTCATTACATTATACATTACATTACATTACTTTTCATTACATTACTTTTCATTACATTATACATCACATTACTTTTCATTACATTATACATTACATTACATTACTTTTCATTACATTACTTTTCATTACATTATACATTACATTACATTACATTACATTACATTACTTTTCATTACATTATACATTACATTATACATTACATTACATTACATTACTTTTCATTACATTATACATTACATTATACATCACATTACTTTTCATTACATTATACATTACATTACATTACTTTTCATTACGTTACTTTTCATTACATTATACATTACATTACATTACATTACATTACATTACATTACTTTTCATTACATTATACATTACATTATACATTACATTACTTTTCATTACATTACATTACATTACATTACATTATACATTACATTATACATTACATTATACATTACATTACATTACATTACATTATACATTACATTACATTACATTATTATACATTACATTACATTACATTACATTATACATTACATTATACATTACATTATACATTACATTACATTACATTACATTATACATTATATTACATTACATTATACATTACATTACATTACATACACACACATATATATACCTACGATTATATGTTTGTATAAATTTATACATCGACTTTCATGGTACAACTCAGCCCAGCATAATGATCTCATGGGAATCATGGCATCCCCGGCCGTAAGTTTCTGGTGAGTGATGAACTATTATAATGATGGGATTATAATGAATTCCCCAATGAAAATGCTGGTTGGTATATAATCAACCGTAAAAAAGGCGGAAAATCGTGATTTATAGTGATTATAGTGATTATAATGGTATTATAATGGGAAATCATCAAGAATTTATTGGGGAATATAGTATGTTATCCCAAATAGTGATTATATTTATGGGGAAGTAATGATTATTAATGGGATTAATTGTTAATCATTGGTAACAAGGGATAATAACATATGATAATGGGATAATGATGGGATGCTAATGGCTAATCAATTGGTAATCTATGACTGGTTGGTGGTTTGGAACATGAATTCGATTTTTCCATATATTGGGAATGTCATAATCCCAAGTGACGAACTCATATTTTTCAGAGGGGTAGGTATACCGGTATACCGCCAAGCAGTATTTTAATTTACCCAGATTGTTGCCAGAGGCTTATATGCGTTTTCGTTTAATTGGGGAAATGATCTAGAGGCAGGATCGCCAGGATCAGGATATATCAGGATGTGGCATCAGGGTCCTTGGAAACAATGAAGTATAGTTATGTGATGTTAGATCTGGTTGGTGGTTTCAAACATGTTTTATTTTCCATAATATTTTTCAAGATGGTTAAAACCACCAACCAGAGAGGGTTCTGTCTGAAAATGGTCCAAGTCCTCTTAAAATTGTCATTTTAAACGACATTTTGGACAGATTCTGGGAAGACGACGAGTGCTACGTTACTGGCATTGTTGTTCGTAAGGGGAATCATGGTTGGTAAGGGAATTCATCCGCAAACGGCTTTAGTTCAGTTTTTTTCAGGTGAGTGAATTCTTATACCTTTTGGTAATTTAACATAGCTATTGAAAATCGCCATTTTTAATGGCTAAATCAGCTATAAATGGCAATGTTCAATAGCTTTTTGTATGTTTACCAGAGGGTAATTCAACCAGATCTTTCTTGGTCATAGCCGTTTGCTCCCTTCCCCAGACAATGCCCTTGCAGGCTGCCCTGATGCCTCCCTCGTCGCGGGGCCATTGTGGCCAAGGGGAGATGGTGTGCCATGCAGGCAGGGAGTCAGCAACGAGACATAGGCTACCTTAAGAGGCTAACGGTTTATGGGGGTTTCCATCAATGGGGGTACCCCAATAGCTGGATGGTTTATTTCATGGAAAATCCTATTATTCAAATGGATGATTTAGGGATATTTAGGGGTACCTCCATGACTTAGGAAACCTCCATATATCATATATGGGGACGAATCAAAACCGATTGTACCATAGGGGGATGAATCTTATCAAGCTGTAGGTGTCTGTAAGGCTAAGGGAAAACAGAGGAAACCGTCCAGCAGCAAGGGGGATAGGAGCCAACAACCTTTTGGCCGTTCAATTGTTACCGTGCAACTGGACTAAGTACAAAACATATCCCAATAGCAGGAAACCATCGTGTGATATTGACATGGTCGACATGGTATCTGAAATTTAATAATCATATCACTAATGGCAGGGCGCCATATTTTCCCGTAGATTTTCGCTGAAATCACCATGTTGGGCCTTGCGCAGCGCGCAATGTGTAACTAGCTTGTCATTCTGCGGTTCAACATTGAAAAAAAAAACCAAACGTTGATTATTGATTACCCTATAGGGCCTAGGGCAAACTGACATAGATGTGGAAAACCCACCATGTGTAAATCATTTTCCTAGGGACACCATGGGTTTTCCACCTCTATATATTAGTTTAAGACAGTGTTTAAAGTTTAAAGTGTAGTTTTTCTCAATTGTTCACCAGTTTTCAGTTTTGCCTGTGAACTCTTGTTTGAATCACTTCTTGTGGCGATGTCACAATGGAATGGCCAGCTTCGGTTGACATAGACATTAAGCTTTGTGTTTGGCTGCGGCCTTGTCATTGAGAATTTCACATGGCACTATCCACATCATCCACCGACGCTGCACAGTGATGAGAACCACTTCCGTAGAACATTTCGCATTCGAAAGCCCACAGAGACAAATCAGTCCCGGAAAAACCTTTGGTAATGATTTTTAGGTGATGACCTTTGATCATGGGTGATGTAACTCAATAAATTGTTTCATGGTCAACATCTATAGTGACACAACAATAAAGTCCTGTCCATCTTCCGTGAGCATCCAATGACTGAAACTCAGGCGGATCCCGGGAATCTGCTGAGCTCGGGCAGCTCGGGTCCCCGGGATGGGCGGATGTCGAATTTCCATGCGCACCAAGCGGAGGATTTACACCAAGCGGTTATTTAACATCGCGCAAAATCGTGTTTTCATAGGTAAATGATGGTAAATGATCTGTGAATAAGTCATTTCCCATGTGTTTTATAGATTTTCAAGAGGCTAGTTATTGAACATGGGGATTTTCTCATATTTTTGTCATATCGAAATTTCCGGTTGCCGGTTGGCCAATAGCAGGTTGGCATCGGGGATTCAACTGGCCCAAAAATTGAGGCGGGTTCATGTCAGACCTCGTTAAATGATTCATAGCCTTTTGTGGTTGGTGGTTTCAAACATATAACCAATTAATATCAACCAATTCTGAACCATTCTGAACCATTATCAATCATCATTCACCATCATGAAAACTGGTTGGTGGTTTCAAACATGACTGGATTATTTTCCATTTCATATATGGGATGTCATCCTTCCCGTTGACGAACTCCATCATTTTTCAGAGGGGTTTAACGGTTAGCAGCAACCACCAACCAGCTTTGGTGTCATCAGCTCCAGAACTGGTAAATCCCAGTCACTAGTTTGATCAACATACCCTCTGGTAATTTAACATAACTATGGAAAATCACCATTTTTAATGGGAAAACTCACTATTTCTATGGCCATTTTCAATAGCTTTTTGTTTGTTTACTAGAGGGTAAAATCCCAGCGAACGAAAGCTCCATTTTCGATGGGATTTCCGAGCCGCCTTTGACTACCAGAGGACCCAGAGGGTGATGGTACCATCTGGTTATGACATTCACAGTTCGCCATGGAAAGATCCACCCAATAGGTAAATAGGTCAACAATCTATTTCGATTAGGACCATCTGTACCATGGCTATGTTAGTCATCACCAGAGGGTATCCCATTGTAACTTTTTTGGTGATAGACTTCATGGGGACTTGGATATTTATGGATGGCAATGACCGGTATATCCATTGAAATGTGATGTGCAAATCACCTTAAAGATCTTAAATTAAAGAAGGTTCCTATGGATGATAATAGTTTATGATGATTTTCCTAAAACATTTAGGGCCAGGGTAACCGCCCCACATAGTAATAACAATAATAGAGGCTTGACATTGGATATTACCATCAATGGATATTCACAGGAAATTTTTGAACTTCACAAACGAACATTCAGAGCTCAACTCCTACAGGGAGCTCCTTATATTTGGCTGTAAAAATATGGTTTTCCCGTGGCTTTTCTTTGGAAATGCGTAGAAAAGCGAAATTAAGACTCCAGTAAATCAATATCAAGAAAGGATCCACGATTTTTTATCACGTACCCGCTTTCCGCATGGATTCCCACATCTATATTAGCCTTCCGGAGGGTAGCAAGCGCTTAAAATAGCAGCTTTAATCATTCCAAGCAACAAAAGACTGGGAATGAACCCCAAGTTTTCATCATTTCAACCATGTTGAACCACACTTTACCCATATTTCTATAGACTTAACCATATTTAACCGCACTTTTACCACCCAATGTTTGATCGAAACCGAGAAATGTCCACCTCGCGCAGCTTATTTTGGCTCGCTCTTTCGGCAGCATGGAAGAGTTCGAGTTGCGAGCGCCTCGTGACCGCTCACGGAGCGACCTGGCGGCCAGATCTATGGAGCAGAATGATGCCCAAATGGGTGGTTGGGATGGCAATTAGGCTAACTTTATATGGGATTTCATAGGATTTATAAGTTAATTACTCTCTGGTGACATAGACTAGCTACTAGCTATGGAAGCCATGGCCCATAGAAATAGATCATACAATGATGAGGTGCCGTCCTCAAAAATAGCGAATTCCCCGTAGCCTTTGTTCAATGGGGCAACATGATCGGGACCTTCCCGTTGGTGAACTGAGGCTTTATTAATGCAGGGTTAGCATGCTTAACATACTGGGAACCTGGTGTTGCATTTTTGGGGTCCGGTCAGTTGGAATTCTCCAGCAATGTAGACTTTGGTAACTATATGTAACTATGGCATGTGTGATTCAGGACATAAATGTTCCCTTCATCCCGACATTTCGTTGACCTTGAGACTGATCAAGATGGGACGAGGCTTCGCAGATCTCAAACCCAGGGTGAGTCAGGCCATGTTCAGAAAACCCCTGCCTGACCGAGTCCAAATAAAAAGTGGTTGGCAAGTACGGCATCTGTGGTAGGAACTTCCTCGAAGTGCTTGGCGGGGTTGGTGAAATGCAGGAAATGGCAAGTTCTGCAAGTTGAATCACCATAAACTCCTATAAATCCGATAGAATCCCATCAAATTCCTTATCTTTGCTGCTTAACTGTGACTTTTCTTGATTAAATCATGGTTAAACCTTCCTCTGGATCATAGCGATCTTATGCCGGAGATGCATCCACAAAAAACATCCAACAGTTATCATAAATTATACAGCAACTTGGGCGATTCTTGCCACAAAACCATGAGTTTTTGTTGTGGTTGTTCCATTTGTTACCTCCCCACGCTTGGCATCACCGGGCGTGAGGTGGCGAGCTTCGTTTCACTGGGACCATCGTGGAAGAGCCCGGAACCTCGAATCCGCGACGCCCCGAGGCGGGGTCACTGTGGGGGCCAGGTGGATTTTCAGAGATACCCATGGGTTGATATAGATTGATATGGCAGTGTGTCAAAACCCTGTACCCCTGGTGAACATAAAAATAGCTGGTAAATGGATGTTCATTTCATCCCACTAAAAATGGTATTAATATGTATTATATAATAGGTATTGACCCATACCCATATAGTGGAACTGGGGGAAATGGTCTGTTTTTTTTGTCTGATGAACACCCAAGAAATTGAAGTGTGGATTGAAACAATTGAAACACTGGGACGTCACTGGGGAAAATGGTGATATCATGGTGGATATTTCACTAAAGAGAAATATCATATGATATGGATTGATATGGGGTTTGGTACCCAAACAGTGGGGGAAAAACCCCGCCAAAAGGCCGAGAGAGAGGTGGAGACCTGGGATACTCCAAAAATCGAGGATCAAACACTCTCCATAAACTCTGGTCTTGTAGTGGATTTACCATTTGGGACCATAGAATGTGGATGTTTAAATATTCGGGTGGGATTCATTTCAACAGGAACATGATGTAACATGATGATGAAGCATCGATTTTGGAGTGCCCCATACCCACATCCCTTGAATTTTAAGCTGCTTGGCGGCTTTGTGCGTTGTTTTGTTGGTTTGGAACATGAGAATTATCCCAAAAGAACCATTGGTTCATGATCACACGCATTTCCACCTACAGACCTAAATTGCGATTTCGGGGTCAACGGAGAGAAAGTGGCGATTTTCAATCCTACCTTGGGGATCATTAATGATGTCTTCCCAGTCACAGGGGTATGACGGACCCAATAATAAACCCAAACTGGGGATGCCTTTTTGGGGTTGCAGGTGGAGCTGCCATTTCGAGACCGGGCGCAGACGGAAAATCCCAATGCTTCGCTTCTTGGGCGGCAGATGATTTTCGAAACGACTGGTTGGCACCCTTGGTGGTCAAAACCAATAGGACAACTCATGAATTTAAGAAAAAATCTGCGAAACCATATAAAAACATAATTTCATGTGCGTTCTCAGTTTGAAATCTGGGAAATCGGATACACGTGCACACAATGGGGAAATAATGGGGATTATCAGCCAAAATATGGATGTAGCATGATGTAGCTATCTCAAACATTCTTGATATTTGGAGGATCAATGCAGGATTTGTGTTTGTGAGGCTACTCACTTAGCCCAGTTCCAAATGAGATAGGCCACGAATAGGGGACTCACAACGTTACGATCACCAGGTATTCATGAAACATGGGCAGGTGCAATTTTTCACCCATTGTGCACAATGTGTTTTTCACTTCATATTCCGATTTACTAGCTGGGGCATTGAATCAGATTAGAAGGTCGATGAGACTTTGCCCAAAAATGATGGGTCTATATACACTTTTTCTGTGAAAGCTGATAGAATCCTCCGTGGTTGATGCTACTATATGGGCTCCCTGTAAGTGTTCACAGTGTTTACTAATTATACGACGAAGGGAAACCCGTTGCAAGCCCGAGGGTCAGGGAAAAACCTCAGACTCAAAACTATGCACATTTTTTCCCCACAAACACATTTCAAACACATGGTCAAATCTGCTCAACATGGTGATTTAGGTCAAAATGATTGATTTGTGGTGTAAAAAGGCATGGATTCCAGTTGTTTTCCTCTTCAACCAATCGATTGAAAATTTGCGAAGTAGTCAAAATTGTTCTGAACAAGTAAAATATCAATCAAACATTGTTGTTGGCTAGATTCATGTAAATCCCAGGCCTCTTGGCAGTTTTGCACCGTTGCCATATGAATGGCAAATTTTTTCCACTGTCAAATGTCAGTTTTCCATAGTTTTCCACCATTTCCACCATCAAAAAATATACCCTCTGGTAACTTAGCAGTTTGCTACTGAAAATAAACATGTAGTTAGTTCGACCACGTACTTACATATTGAGATATATTGAGCATTGTGCTATACGTCAATTCCATATTTTTTTTCATTCTTACTTACCATGTTCATCTATAGAATCTATATTTTCCACCACGTCAGACTGCATTCTTTCATATTTTTCCACATTTTTCCACTGTAACTTGCTAAATTGTGTCGCCTTCCCACGGCACTTCTCCACTTCGCCTTGCGTTTTAAACTGCGTCGCCGTTTTCAGCAGGTCCAGCGGCGTGACCCGTCGCCGTGCGGCGGAGCGCATCAACAGCAGCGGGCTGCGCGAAGTGACGCCGGACCGGCTGCGCCGCGGAGAAGGTCCATGGGGGTTACCCCAAAATCTGATGCTATTCTGATGGTTTGGGATCTGGTTGATCCCGAAATAATTAGCTGGTTTAAGATGGTTGATGAATTAAAGTAGATGCTTTATGATTCATAAATGATGGTTAAAATAGAGATTCTTTATGATGGTGCATTTCATGGAACATCCTATAGAATTGATATGAAAACCTATCCCCAGATATGGGAACCTCCATTTTGTTTCGATTCGAGTTGGTGGTGGATGACCTCAGCGATCGAGGTCAAAGACAATGACCTAAGATAAATGATGAAGATAAGGGGGTTCAGCTGTGGATTTACTATAATCAGCCAAAGTATGGATTTAACTAATCAAGAATGATTCATGATGGTTTTATGGGTTGAACAGGGGTTTAACCTTCAAGAATGGTGGATTTATGAAGAGTTGATCAATGAATAATGGGGAGCTTATGGATATTAACAACATGAAGCAGAGTAGAAAAAACAATTATATATGGTATAATATTATATTATATTATATATAGTTATTATATGATATTATATTATATTAACAACATGAGCATAGAACTGAAATGCACACTGACTTGAACAAGCTCGACACATCGCGGAGGTTTCGTAACCCCACACCCTTAGGGTATCTCAGTGCACCAACACCAGGCGATAGAACTGACCTGGCGACGTCTGGCCACCTAGAAACCAAGCTGTTTCAGTAGTTCACTAGGCACATCATTTACCCTCTGGTAAACTAACATAACCATGGAAGATTGCCCATTTATAGATGGTTTACCCATTAAAAAATCGTGATTTTCCATATTTTTTTGTATGTTTACCAGGTACCAATGGCATTTTCGGAATTCTCGAGCTTGGGATGGCTGGAGGGTCGCTGCAGGCCCCGGAGTCATGAAGACGGTAGCAGCACAGATCCTTGGCGCGACGCGACCGACCAGGTCACATATTTTCAATGGGAACATCGTCTTCAAAACGTCAACTTTGTTTACTGGTTGGCTGGTGGTATTCATAACATTTCATAACCAACATTTATGAGGGTAGAACTAGTAGATATGTAGGACAGGATGATGCAGGAAATATAGTCAACGCAAGAATGGATATATAGATGATGCAACCTCAATCAATGATTCAGTGCTGCAAGCTGTCGGTTCGAATCCTGCAATCCACTATGATGACATCGAAACATCAGGCGTTTCTGGAGCATTCCAAACCACCAATGAATGGATGACCGACCATGCCGACTTTCACGAATGGATAGGACTAATTTAAAGAAAGAGAAAGGGATGGCCAGAAATCCCTCATTAAACATGCACACGTCACGGCCGCTAGCACACCAGGTGGGCAGGATATTTGTGCTTGGATTTGCCAAGTACAAAGGCAAATGCTGCCTGCACATCTATCACAAAGATGATAGATTCATATATATATATATTATGTTGTTTTTTTTTTTTTTAAATGTGTATAATGTGTATATATATAAGATATACTGTATGTATAATGTTTGTACATATTAGGTTCTTCTACTCTACTCTACTCTACTCCACTCTACTCTACTCCACTCCACTCCACTCTACTCTATCCTACCTACCTACCTATCTGCCTATCTGCCTATCTGCCTATCTACTTATCTCTGTCTGTCTGTCTATCTATCTATCGATCGATCAATCTATCTGTCTGTCTGCCTGTCTGTCTGTCTGTCTGTGTGTGCAGCTATGCTACTGATGGACGCGTCACGTTACAGGCTCACATGGAGTCCGGCCAACCTTTCTTTGAGCAGAATAAGTCTACTGCCCTCTCCCAGAATTCGTAGAAGCAAAAGTTGTTGAACCATTGAAGCCCAAAAGAATCCCTTCAACAAATCCATTGAGTCTCAGGATCAGAGGTTTCTACCTATTGAAGTTTGCCGTCTCTGTCACTGCCTGTTGCATTGACTGCATGGTGGGGTAGAAAGGTGGCACAACCAGTCTTCCAAAGTCAACTCTTGGGGTTCCGTTTCGAATTTCAAGGTGGATTCCGCGACTCCCAGGGTGAAGATTCATTTTGGGGTCCCTTGTTGGGGGGCTTGGGGTGTGTTTAATAGGGCTATGGGAGTAGTCATCATCACCAATTTGGACCGGCTTTGCGATCAGGGAAGAGCTATCTAAAAACATGTTAGCCTCCGGCAATCAAAGGTGACAAGGAAGAACATCCCTTATAAATGGAGCCTTTGATGGGACAATCTGTAAATGGGAGCTTCAAACGTTGCCACTTTTGATGACTGGAGGGTAAAGTTGGAGGTAAGGGACCTGCAGGATGATCTTGGACCGGTGCTTCCAGCCTGAGATCAGGTTACTTGACCATCCAACTTCTGAGAAAATTTGCAGAGGCCTGACAACTGCTGTCCCAGTGAAGGCTCAGTAGATTGGGACCCAATTGCTTTTGATCAAACAATAATATTTAAGAGCACTTCATGGTCATTTTGTAGGGCCCCCCTGCTTTCCTCTATCCCATGATATCCTACGTGTATGTTTCAGGGATGTAGTAGAAAGGACATTTCAAGAATTGGTGCAGTCAAAGTTTTTGGGCAAAGCTTTTACATGATGTTTGCCTAAAAAGACCAGGTACCACCGTTCGTTCCAACGCATTGTCTTTTCATTATCGTTATACCATCAAGATTGCAATTTCGAGTAATGATACGTAATGATACGCCCCATGCTTGGAAACACGGTTCATGGTTGCACCTTAAATTCTGGAGGCTATAGCAAACCCCCCAAGAAGACGATAGGACTGATAGGAGAGGTAACGCCCTGCCAAAATAATGGTAAATTATTATGGGAGATTACTTTTTTCAGGACCTCTATTTGTCAGGTTCACCACGAGCCACTGTTTGTTTCGTACCACTCCTTGAACTGGCTAGCAATCTTAGCAGCTGCTGCTTTGGAAGGTCTTGCTCCCTTTCATCTTTGCTGTATTGGTGACAATCATCTTGGAGTTCCTTGGTTCGCACGGGTTGGGAGATGCTGTGATATCTGTGATTATCCCCCGCTGAGATGGGTATGAAACTGGCTCATTCTATCCCACAATTGTAGTATTGATCGGAAAATGATGATTTACCATCACTTTTTCTGGATTTTTTCTAGTGCATTTTTCGGCCAAGCCACATGTTAGCAACGGTTCAATCCAACTCCCGGACTGGTAGTTGCCCCGAGAAGAACTGGATACAGTAGCCCCAAGTCCCGTGGTTCAATGGATGGATTTCAGCTATTTCCCATTCTTAATGGCGATTTTCTACAGTAGTTCGCTACGTTACATCACCAGAGGATACATCTCATGAAATCACCATCATATAAATCTCATTTAATCACCATTAAATCACCATTGTTGGTAGGAATCACCAGCGGAATCACCCTGAAATCAGCATGAATTCCGGCCCCGTTTTTTTTGGAACACGGGCCCCAGGCCTTTGAAGAAGTTTGTGATGCGAGTGCTGTGCAGACTCGTGGTGCGTGGCTCGTTGGTGGTTTAATATGGTTTAATGATGATTAATGGTGAGTAATCATGGTCCATGGTGATTAATGATAACATATATACTGCTTGGTGGTTTGGAACATGACTTTTATTTTCCATTTCATATATGGGATGTCATCCTTCCCATTGACTAATATTTTTCAGAGGGGTTGAAACCACCAACCAGTATATGAAAACATGGAACGCCTATAGGCCTACGAAAGATGGCGTGGGGTCGGGTTGAGATTGACAGTTCACCAACCCAAAAAGGCCCATGCGTTCATGCGTTTCAATGGGATTTTGAACCATGGCGTTTTCCTCCGTGTGAATGGCTATAGACTATAGATTACCGGTCACACTTTTGACCTCCGCCCCAAGGAAGGTCCCTTGCGCAAGGTGTGTTTCTGGCCCTGCACATGGACTTCTGCGTGGATGGCGTTCAAATGACCGGGACAGGCAGGCAGCCGCAGACGTAAACAGAGTTCCCAACCATATGATGGGTAAGTAGCCCCAATAAGTGGGTGGCTCCAGAAAGAATAAATAGATAGATAGATAGATAGATGGATAGATGGATAGATAGATAGATATAGATAGATATAGATAGATAGATAGATAGATAGAAAGATAGATAGATAGATTAGATTAGATTAGATTAGATTAGATAGATTAGATTCGATTAGATTCGATTAGATTAGATTAGATTACAGTAGGATAGTTAGGATAGTTAGGATAGATAGGATAGATAGGATAGATAGGATAGATAGGATAGATAGGATAGATAGGATAGATAGGATAGATAGGATAGATAGGATAGATAGGATGATTAGATTAGATTAGATTAGATAGATAGATAGATAGATAGATAGATACACTCCCAATATGAAACCAGGGTTTCAAAGGGAGCAGTTGATTAATAATGATTAATATATGGGGGACGAGAACGCCATGATCACCCGCAACGGACATGGGGTGAGATGGAGCTACATGGCTATACATGGCTTCCTGCCTGCGCAAATCCATTGGTTGGTAAGGGAAATCATCCCCAAATGGCCTTAATTCAGGTTAGTGAAATATTATAATTTACCCAGATTGATGTTTGATCATCGTTTATTTATTACATAAAGGGACCATCTACCCAAAACATGTACATGTCAGATTTGAAAACAGAACCAATATTACAAATATGGGTATAGTCTGATTATAAGAGCTTTTTGCAGTGTTTGAGAACTTGTCATCGAATTCAAAGAAGTTGTCCACGTTTGCAAGAAGTTGTGCACGTGTCACAGAAGTTGTGCACGTTTCGCACGCCTCCCTCATAAGGTTCGTGTTCAACTGTTGTGGAATGGACGGCTCTCATTGGGGGCTCTTAACCAGACTATCCAGATAAATATGTATATCATACTGGTAGTGTGGGTTGCACTCCATGATGTACCACTATTTCCACAGTGTCTCATCATATGATATAGACCAATTTATGTCGTATTACATGTTTTCGCTGTAATGCCATCATGGTTGGCTTTAGCTTCCGCATCGACGAGGCAATAGGCACCCGAGCATCGACAGCATGGGCATGGAGGGCCAACCCATCTATGGCAGTCTTCCTGAGGATTCGGAGGACAAGCCATGGCTTCCACGCCCAGTTGCAGGTACTCCATGTGGTACAAAAGGTGGCTGTGGTGCAAAAACTATTTACAACACCCAAAACATGGGGAAGGCAAAGGTGCCAGCAGAAATGGCATTTCTGTTTGGATGTGAGAGAGGGGTGTTTTTGTTGTTGGCCCTACACCAGAGAGAGGGGGATGGCGAGGACTCTTGGACTTCAGAAGGTATATGCCATTGCCATAGTATGTCCAAAATTGAGGCATATGGTATACCCCAAATCAGCTGATGAACAGTGGTGAACCATCATGTTCCCCATGAAGTTGCAATGTTTGAAGATTTTGAAGGGCATAGTACTAAGTTTTTCTCCTCCAGCTGCGCTGTATACTTGCAGCAAGGGAATGTTTTGCAGCCCCTCAGGAGCCAAGGCACGAGTGAACAATGATTTCATTCATTGCTGAATTTTGCAATCCCTTCCTCTTGGCAAGTTTGAGTTTAGTGAAATTTAGTGGCTTTAACTTGGATTTGCTGGAAATGATGGCTTATCTTCCCATTGGTAAATTCACCAGAAGGGGAGTCTATTGAGAATGTGTGTTAATCAAAGTACGCTTTCATTCCCTAAATTGGATGATCGAAAAAAATGCGGAAACCCCTATATTGGAAGGTAAAAAACATGGTTTCTGTAGATGTTCCCTTGATTTTTTCTGATTTATTTTATGGCAGAGTAAGTTTGGCCACCCTCCGCAGGACATGAACGCGCCCTCCACTCGAGCCTCGATGCCGGCCCCTACCGTCAAAAGTGTCTTGGACCGGAGATTTCACCTATCCAACACGTCTTGTTGTATCTGGCCCAATGTGATAGCCATTAGCCATTGTTGGGAAGACCAAAATAGCCATATGTCACATATAATCTGGGTAAATTATAACGACCTCACTACGACCTCACTGGAAATCATGGTTAGTAAGGGAAATCATCCCCAAATGGCCTTAATTCAGGTTAGTGAAATATTATAATTTACCCAGATATAATCTTGGTATTTCACCAAAATATGATTGGGCTACATATCAATCTTGGGAACGTGTCTTTATTTTTCTTGTATGTAGCCCACTGTGATTAATTATTTGGTTTGTAGTTATGGCATGGTTTTAAACTGGAAATCAGCAACACGTATCAACATGCTTTCGATTTGTCTCGCAGTGGTTTTGGAATCAGAGAGGCCCTTACGGCCTTAGGGAAAAGGAGAACGATCAATTTCTTTGGAATTTGATTTTTCAAGATTTTTCACTCAATGCTTGTTCATCCCGAGTTTGAATCCCAACGGCCACCGGGCCACCTGTTTTGGGTGGGGAATATTGCCAAAGACCACCTACATTGTTAATGAAGTCCAATTGTCATTGCACTTCCTGTGTTGATCAGAAACGCCCATTGTTCGATTTCCTATGATTTCCACCGTTGGTGTTACCCTCTGGTAATTTAACATAGCTATTGAACATGGCCATAGAAATAGTGGATTTTCCCAGCTATAAAATGTTGATTTTCCATATTTATGTTAGTTTACCAGAGGCTACTCGTATTATATAATCAAAATATGAACCTATATAGACGTGTTTTGTTGCTCCAAACCCGACAGTTTCTGGGCAAAAGCCCAAGTTGTTGTGCCTGCAGAACTGCTGATCGCCCTCTCCATCTTCTATTGCTTGGCCTTCTCCGCCCGTGGCTGGGCTTCCAAATTGCCAGGGAACAGGTAAAGTTCGGCCCAATTTCACAAAGCATGCCCTACTACCAGTGGTTCGCAATGGTTCACCCCTGGCTAGGGATTCATCATGGGGATTGAGCAGCAAGATATGTCAAATTCGCCATCAAACATATGGGGAAAGCCACGCGGCCTAGGAGATGATGTAGGATCCGCAGGTTGGTGAATGGGATGTTTTTAATGGATGGTTGATGAGAATCCCTCTGGTAAACATTCACAGTTTGCGAAGTGGAAAACTCACCATAGCTGGTTAAATCAACGAACTAAATAGCAATTTTCACTAGCTTTTTGTATGTTTACCAGAGGGTATCGCATTGAGTTTGCCATCACCAGCTCCGTTGATCCCAGCAGGTGTTTTTTGGCTGGTGGCACGTGTCTTTTTGCGAGCCGCCGCGGGGTCACTCGGCGAAAAATCTCTGAACAATTGTGGCACCGGCAGGGTTTGGAATAGTGTAGCATAATGTATAAATTATATATCATATATATATTGGTATAATGTATATGTATTTATATATATATATGTGTGTGTATAATTAGGTATAAAAATATATATAATATATATATATATATTCACGTGACATCATGTGATGAACATCAATAGAAGTATCGGACCGTAGCGGCGTTGCGCAATTCTAGGCTTGTTTTAGATGCTTAGATTCTGCCGGGTTTCAATTTTACCTTGAACCACCGATACTTGCCATCTGGTAAACTAACATAACTATGGAAAATCACCATTTTATAGCTGGGAAAATCCACTAGTGTATTTCTATTGCCATTTTCAATATATGTTAAATTACCAGAGGGATTCCGCATCGCCGGGTTTCGACGGCAGGATTTCTCAAGACATGCAGTACTACAAAGAGGGTGCTGCGCGTCTCAAAAGGCCCAGCAGTGGAGGGCCAGATGTGTGGCTTGGTAGTTTTTCACTCCGGGGTATAGATGGCTGAATATATCGGTACCCTCTGGTGAACTAACATAGCAATGGAAGATGGCCATTTATAGTGGATTTTCCCATTAAAAATGGTGATTTTCCATTGCTATGTTAGTTCACCAGAGGGTAATCATTAAAAAAATAGAAAAACATATAGATCTCCCTACTCTACAGTTCGATACAGTAGCCATGCAGTTTGTCAATTTGACCACCCTCCCAATGTTTGCAGTTTCGGACAATCCTCTTTTGGTCCAGCTGCCAGTTGGATGAAAGAATACATCAGTGGCCTCCACATTGAAACTTGGCGCCACATGAAAAATCCTGCAGTTGCCGACGTAGCGTCGGCACATTTTGGTCAAACTGGTGATTATATAATGTGAGGGTTTTCAGATTCGCTTCTGGACGTTTCTGGCACTATCATTTCTTTGGGAGGTATACCATCATTGACACATATGGTACGTCCTTTCGTGCTCTGTCATACTTGGAGGCAATGAAAAGTGCTTGCCAGTTTCAATGGGAATTTCAGGATCCTAAAATGGAGGTACTGTACCATATAAGGCCATATTTTCTGGGGATATTCTCTTACATAGGCCTTAAACTTATATAGGCCTTGTATATGGTAGGTACCTCCATTTTAGGATCCTGAAATTCCCATTGACAGTTGCCAACGTTTCCCCTGTTTCCCCTTTGCTGCATATTTTGTGTGGTCTAACACTGGCAAGTTGGGTTGGTATTTTGGCAATGGAGGAACTGCCAGGTTGGATGAGTCCACTGGCTTTCCGTGATCCCAACAATCATGGCCGGCTAGGATGCACCATGTTCCACAGAGAAGCATTTGCATTCTTCGCCGGCTATCCATCTTTGTCATGGGTGATGTATACGGGGACATAAGGGGTGAGTCTATGACTGTCCATGTGGGTGCCGGGATGTTGCTACATGGCTACCCGTGCTGGTCCGAGGAGTCCCTGGATTTTAACGACGTCCTGGATGAACTTCTTCATGAGGCCGGTGCTCTTGAGCCATGCTCGCAACAGCGCCGGGGTGGATGGTTGAGTGATGATTTTTTGAGGATTTTGATCATGATTTTTGTATATGTTTGTGAAATGTTGGAGTTTAACCTATTTATTTTTTTTCAAAAATTTGCATTGCAAATTCTACAAACTCGTAACCAGCCAAAGTGGTGATTGGGTAAATCTTCGGGAATCCTTGGCTGCCAATTGTGATGGCAAACAAACGTTAAATATCTCCTGCTGAAATGAGCTTTCGCGGGATAGCATTCCTCTGGACGAGTGATGGGACCCTCAAGTCTGGGCAGGCACTCCCAGGCACTCCCAGTTTCACACTCAACTGATGGAGACAGTGGGAGTGGAGGTCAAACCCATGATTTATATAATATCATATATTCATAGATCTGGGTAAATTATAACGACCTCACTGCGACCGAACCCTGGAAATCAATTGGAAATCATGGTTAGTAAGGGGAATTATCCAAATATGGTCTTATTTCAGGTTAGTGAATTATTATCATTTGCCCAGAATAATTATATATTCATCCATTTGCCATAAAAAAACTTGGGATAGCTCCGACAAAACCATGGCAGTTTCAACATGGGTTGCATGTGACTCACTTCTATCATCCCACTCTTGGCTCGTTGGACCTTGTTGGACCAAGTTAGATGTAGGTTACCCTCTGGTAAACATACAAAAAGCTATTGAAAATGGCCATAGAAATAGTGAGTTTTCCCAGCTATAAAATGGTGATTTTCCATAGCTATGTGGCTGTTTACCAGAGGGTAACTATGGAAAGATCCACCATTTTATAGCTGGGTAAATCACCTATTTCGACTGGGCCATTTTCTATGTCGCTTTTTGTTAACGTTTACCAGGCAACGGGTGTCCTGTCCTAATCCACTTACCTTCCTTGCTGGATGTCCTGCAGGTGGAGAATCTGGGGACGGTGTTGACGCAGAGCTTGCTGAACTTCATGGTCCAAGGGGCTGCTTGGATGATGAAAAACCGGTTGCCTCCAGTCGCGCTTGCGATGCGAAAATGATGGCCGATGGCTGTTTACCATAAAATTTACCACCTGGTGATTGGTGATTGTTTTTTGGTTGGTTAAAGTACCAGAGGGTGTAAAACATTCTCAGGAAGACACCCTCTTCATGGCCCATGTTTCTGGGAAATGATCAAGAGATTTGCCCAGATGAATGTGGTGAAGTTGTAAAGCAACCCTCCATTTTTTGGAAGTGTCGCCATAGAAAAAACATGGGATTTTTGCAGATGTGGAGGTAATTGTTGGGATAATCATGGAAGTTAGGATCAATGGTTAGGACAGATTATGACCCATTGATCGATCAGGCTTTCCTACTAAACATGGTGATTTCCCCGATAAACACATTTCCTATAGTTTCCTATATTTTTCTATAAAACATAGTGATTTTCCAATATATTTCCTATAGTTTCCTATGAAACATGGTCAGTTTCCATAGCCATGTTTTTTATCACCAGAGGCTCGAGGCTCACAATCATCCCATTGGTCCCGTGTTTGATGGGTTAAATCCAGAAGTTCCCCCAACAAAAATTCGGAAATATCCTACAAAAATCGATAGATATCTGGTTGGTGAACTATTTCTGGTTGCTGGTGACTGGAACATACTGGAACCATGGAATTTTATATGACTTTCCATTCAGTTGGGAATGGAATAATCATCCCAACTGACGAAGTCCATCATTTTTCAGAGGGGTTGAAACCACCAACCAGTATAGATCAGGAATTATGAGGGAGTTGCTGTATCATTGAATTAATGAATGACGATAGATTTCAAGTTCCCCAAGAATTTGCCGATTTCCAGGTGTCCAGGGCCGTTCTGCGTATTATTTCGGGGTTGTTATGCTGCTATAGCAACAAACAGTTGGACAAATCACCCCAACATGCATGAGCTGCATGACAGTTTCAATGCACGTTGTTACATGCTTTGCACATGGTTTTCTATGTTTTTTCATCACTATCATGGGATAATCAGCATCATTATTGGCTAATGAAAAAAAACATATGATTGGTGGATGATGATGACAATGGATAATGATATATAATGATAATAGATAATGATCTAGTGGCTACAATGGATTATGATTAATGGCAATTAATGGATCAAAGTAACGGATTAATGGATCGATCATGAATTCATTGGATTGGTTTAAGGGAACATCTACAGGAAACCATGGTTTTTACCATTAAAAAAAATGGGGGTTTCCTGTAACAAACATCCAGCAAACCAATGAATTAACATCCAGTAAAACCCAGAGAATCCCAGCAGTTTCTGTTGTTTTCCGTAGCCCTAACCATCCTAAGAGTCCCAGCATCCGGAAACAATGGCGGAAACAATGGCTTCATATGGCTTCATAATTTGCCAAGAACATATCATGTTCCCCATCATGATTTAAACAAAAAGAACCTGGGTAATAATTACGTGTTTCAAATCATTTGTCATTTGGGGTATGACTCGTTCTCATCTGAATCAGGGAATGAATCCCATGTGTCCAACGTTTCTTTCTTGTGTGTGTGCGGGTGATCCCCCAAGGGAGATCGAAATGCCTCAGTTGAGAGCAGACAAATCCACCAATCATTGGATTGGTTGAAAAGGGAAGACCTACACCGGAAACCATGGTGTTTTCCATGGTTTTTCCTATGAAATATATGAAATATGTGGCTTTCCTTCAGCAAGGTGGTGACCTTCATCTTCCTGATCTACATGTTGTGGAGCCCCGTGAAGATGGATGGCAGCGCCATGGCCACCGAGGCGCCTTGTGCCCGCAACCGATGACTGGTTCCGGCAGGGAGTTCCTTTTGTGCCCGGGTCTTTATTATATAGATAGCTAGATTGATTAGATTAGATTAGATTAAATTAGATTAGATTAGATAGATAGATATAGATCGATAGATATAGATCGATAGATAGAAATCGATAGATAGATAGATACAGATAGATAGATATAGATCGATAGATATAGATCGATAGATAGAAATCGATAGATAGATAGATACAGACAGATAGATAGATATAGATCGATAGATATAGATCGATAGATAGAAATCGATAGATAGATAGATACAGATAGATAGATATAGATCGATAGATATAGATCGATAGATAGAAATCGATAGATAGATAGATAGACAGATAGATAGATAGATAGATAGAAAGATAGCTAGATAGCAAGATAGCTAGCTAGAGAAACACACACACTAGACAAGAATGGATCATTATATGATCCGGCAGGAACTGAATCCTGAAACATGCAAACCAGCCTAGATTATTAGATGAATAAAAGAGCCACATGAGGTACTTCTCGCAAACGATGTAGGGCATCCGAAATTGTCAAACGTAGTCATAACCAGATTCCATAGAGTTTTGACCAGCATGTGGAAATCCAAAATAATGTTTCGGCGATTGTTTCCCAAAATAACCCATAGTTCGTCGGCGACAGGATCTCGGCGAAAATAAGTCAAAAAACATAATACTGTCGGCGATATGGTTTCGGCGAAAATCTGAGGAAGGTTCTGATGCATGTAAATTTCAAAATTGATTCCAGATTGCGACAACAGTGCAGCAAATTGTATAATATTGTGGTTGGGGTTCTAAGCTTGGCCCCTTGCTATGTCCGAAAAAAGCAGGTACGTGCAGTTGATCAGACTGCATATCCTCTCCAAACATCAGTAGCTTCGTTGGCCACGGACTGATGAATGGAGCCGTGGCCCCCTGCAAATTAGTGAAAACCAATCAGAAGTTTTACATCTGTTCAGATGGTACACACACACACCTCGCATGTAGCGAGGTCGGTTTTTTGGAAGAACTTCGCTGGCGGAATCGGCAAGACACCAGTGAAAGTGAACCTGTAATAACCTAATGTACAAAAGGGCGGTCACTTCAGTCAGAAGAGGAATTCGGAGCTTGTAGAAGGACTTCCATAGCATCGTGGAAGCTCATGCGTTCAACCATCGCCCAAGTCTGATCGAATTCCCCCGATGCCGTAGCAGCCTTCAAGGTGTCAGATAGATCTTTGGCTAATTCATGGATCCGGGTGGTCAGCCTTGGTTCATCTCCAGGAGATGTCGTCTCAATGGGCACATTGTGAAAAGGATGGTGTCCATGTACAAGGGGAATCTCAAAATGATGTCGCCAATAGTCCGCTGTGCGCAGGCACCACTCCCAGTTGCCGGAGAGACCATAGAAATAGTGTTCAGGGTCACGACATCGGGAATGCCCTAACAAAGGAATTTCTTCAATGAATAGCTCCCTGGTGTTGTTGGAGTGGGTAATGACCTTGAATTGGATCTGGTGAACCACGCGAGAAGAGAACTGAGCACGATGGAAGTAGTTGTGTGTAGAACTTGAGTCTGTCGGAAATGGAACGCCAGGAGGTGCTGGTCCTGAATATGTATCAGAATGGGCCAGTGTACCCGTAGCAGGTGCCGTACTGTCAGTTACCAAAGGTGCCGGAGTAGGGTTGGTCGTAGTGTCGGGAGCTCCTGAGTGACATAGTGCAGAAGTCGAGGCGTCTGGTACTTGAACTGGGTCGGTAGGAGCGAGTCCACGAGTAGAGTTCGCAGGCCAAGACAAGCCCGCCACGGTCGCGTCTCGTTTGTGTTCCATGGGTGAAACTGTCACAAATACGAGAAATAGTGCAACAACGGCTGAAGCATCAAGAATTGCAGAAGAAAGCCAATCCCGAAATTGATAATATTCACAAAAATGAAAAAAGTGAAATCCAGTCCTCAATCAAGTGGGTCAGTTGCGACGGAGAAGCCACAGCTCCAAGTCAAATAAAATAGAAATCGAAAAATCCTTTGTGTTAGTGGGGTGTCAAGGAGGAATTGAAAACCCTGTAGCATGGTCTTTTTTGGCCGGCTAGTGCATCAGGGCAGGATCACACCGGAGCTAATTTTGTAGCATTTCAAGCGTAGTACGAAAGGCTGTCTGGTACCCGGGATGAGGAAAGAGGATTCGCGGGAATTGTACTGCCGAAGTCGCCACTCAGGTCGGTATGCCTCCAAAAGCTGCAAGACCGTCATATCATTGGAAACTTGGAATGTATCACCGTCCAAGTCGCAAAAGCGAAACTCCAGGTTCGAGGGATCAATTTGGATGTCCCATTGGGACCTCAATCTTTTGGAGATACAAAAGCGGAGTTCGGCAATTGGGATGAGGCCGGCTTCAACTGGTTCCATCTGACGTGACCAGGTAAACAAAGCTGCAAGTTCAAAGCCACTGACATGTCTAAAATTGGAGTTCACCAGAGCCATGTAGTGTTCACGGTCAGGTTCGCTTCGGTGAGTCAATGCCTGTAAGGGAGAGAAGTCAACCAAGATAAGGACAGGTCTGTTTGGAGGAGGGTTCACATCACCAGGGAGGCCTCGATGTCCAGCAATCCACCCAACGGTTCGTGTACCAAGCGGTGTCTCAATCGTAGATGTGGCGCGATATGGATTGGGTCGAGAAGAACGAGCCATTGCGTCGAATGTGAAGTATCGAGGATAAAGCGCAAAGCCCAAGCTGCAAAATGGGTTGGAATAGCCACAGGAACAAGCACAAAGTGTTAGAAATAAAAGAGAAACGGTGTACCTAGTAAATGGTCACACAAAGAGACGATGAATCACAGGTCTTTTTTCCGCCGACAAAGAATGTGGTATATTACACACTTGAATCCGACATATCCATCGGGTCAATATCGTTCGCATCCAACGGACCATGTACTTGTTGAGGAGGGACAGCGGGGCGAGTGAGATATACAGTACGGTGTAGTGTTGCCGGTGGGGAAGACGGTGGTGTAGACCGCCAAGGTGGCCAATATAAAGAGGTAGTGGTTCCTTGAGAATGGTGTTGGGCGGAGCGTCCCCAGCATGACTGTAAAATATGGAGGTGGTCCGGTATCGCTTCGTACGGCTGTGAGACATGGACGTTGGAGTGTTCAGGGTGTGGTAAAACGGGAACAGTAGTTGCCGTAGGGGAGGAGGATGATGGTTGAATTGGTACATCATAGTATCTGCGCCAATGGTTAGCTGTAGTGCGCAAGGTTGCCTGGTCGTTGGTGAGGTGCATGTTCTCCAGGAATGTTTCCACTGGTTTCCACGTTTCAAGACCATCAAGTGTCCTTTCCACGATCCAAAGTTCATCTGAACGGTTAGACAAAGGATAGCTCAGCTTCTTGATGAAGACGGAGTGGACAGTGGTAGAGGTCGGAATCATTCTCGCTGCACGAGGAATATAGGATGCCGAGGTGGGATCATCCGGTGGCAAGTGTGAGGCAAGGCCATGTATGGATGTAGGTGGTAAACCGTGCGAGACCAATCGAGCAGGATCATCCGTGTTGGAGGTCATCATGTACGATCAAAAGAATATGATAGCGGGAAATACTAAACTGAAGCCAAAAGGCCGTGGGGAAGGTCAATGATGAAGGAATAAATAACGAATATCACCCACTGGAAAACGAGAAAAGGATGACACAAGGGAAAATCAGAACCGGGGTGGTGGACATCACAACGAATGTTGGTCTTTTTCCTCATAGACGTGAGCCGTGTCAAGATCCATCAAGACAGCTAATCACTCAGCGGCTTTAGTGTATCGGGTGGCCGTGACGAATGGATGTCCACGGGGAATCACTTGAACATGTACAGCAAAGCCAGTGTCTTGTGCATCTGGATGTGGTGTCAGCAGCAACGGAGAACACTCGCGGGTCGTGAAGGCATCGAGATGTTGATGAGTTTTCCATCTCGGGTAGAACCAATTCAAAACATCCAGAAGAGAATGAGGAAGGTCGTCAAGCATCTGAGCTCCTTGATCGGTGTCAATCATCATGTAGAACTCCGACGCTGGTAGGTGTATGGACCAGCGTTGTAGCAGTGTGTCGGTGACTACGGTTTTGAGGTCTGAAACGAAATGACTGCGAGCATAGTCCGGGTAGATGACCTTGAACGTCTGGAACAAGCTGTCATAGGTGGCCGTAGGAAGGTTGCCCGCGACATTGGGGGTCAAGATGTTGTAATAAGGGTTGCGTACGGCCAGTTGTTGCATCGGCTTCAGGTCCAACTGGAAAATAACCGGTCGGTGAGGTGTCGGAGGCGAAGACCGGTTGGGTGGGTGCCGGAATGACGTAGAGCCCATAGCGGAAGATGACGTCCTGGTTGGAGAGCGTGAGCGTCGTGTAGGTGAGATCCTCTCGTGGGACATAGCTCGCTGTTGGCAATAGCGGTCCAGGTGAACGCGGAGAGACATAATAAATGGCTGGCGGGTTGTGTGATACGACGTGTCAGAATTCAATGGGACAACAGCGTCCATGGTTCTGAAGATAAACAAGAAGAAAATTCCCAAAATGAAGGCCAACGGGTTGGTGAAACAGTAATACCGTACCGCAACGTACCTTTTCCTTGTGATTCGCATATGTCAATGGTCAGCCAAGTTGGTCTTTGATCTTATTCCACATAGAGCGAACATCTTCTTCAGACTTGCCCATCTTGGTCGAGATCACCTTCCATGAAAATCGAGATTTTTCGTCAACCTTCAGAGTGCGTAGTTTCTGTTTGTCTTCAGAGGTCCAGAGTGATAATGGGCTCGAGGAGCGGGATCGGGATTGGTCACGGCGGCGACGACGCTTGGCAGGAGCCTTTGGAGCAGATTTGGCTTTCTGTTTGCGACTTGGCGGTGATGGTGTTCTAGTAGAAAGCTTCGAAGGTGCAGGTAAAACATCAGGAGGCGGAGCAGCAACATGTTGGTGCGGCTCGGGAAGATGGGTTTCCACCAGT